TGTAAAATACCATTTAAAAAAATGAAGCTGGATATCACATGATAGAATTTTTCAAGAGCAAAACTTCTTCATTGCAAACATTTCATAATGGTAATAATATACATGGAACTCAGCACATGAAATACACAGAAAGCAAATTGGCGACCCTTATGGCCAGAAACTAAGGAGAAGCTCAACATTGTCTGCCAAAACAAGGCTGGAGCCAACTGTGGAACAGACCATCAATTGGTCATATGCAAGTTCCGTTTGAAGCCAAAGAAAGTTAAAATAAGCCCACCAGAACCAAAATATGACCTGAGGCTATCTCATCTGAATTTAGAGCCCGTCTCAAGAACAGATGTGAAGAAGTGAACACTCGGGACTGAAGACAAGAAGTTGTAGGATGACATCAAGATCATCATGCAGAAAGAAAGAAAAAAGGTCATTAAAAAGAAAGGAGCAAAGTGGATGTCAGTAGAGATTCTGAAACTTGCTCTTGGACAAAGAGAAGTTACAACACGTAGAAGAAATGATGACGTAGAAGAGTCCAACAGAAAATTTCAAAAGGCAAATCACAAAGTAAAACATTATATTAAGTATACAAAGATTTGGACTTAGAAAACAAAAGAAAACCAAAAATGAAGAACTTGCTGCTCTTCTATCAAGCTGAAAGAACTGGAGAGAAGTTCAAGTCTGGAGTTGCATGTTGAGGGGCTCTTTGGACAAAGTATTGAGTGATGCAGGGAGTATCCAAGGAGATGTAAGGAATGTATAATCACTGCCCCCAAAGGAAGTGGTCAACGTTCAAACGTGCGCGTATGCTCAAGGACCAGTGATACTGATGGCCGAAGTTCAAGCTGTCCTATAGGCATTAACGAAAACACAAGGCTCCAGGAATTGATGGAGTACCCATTGAAAATTTCCAACAACTTATGAATCACCGCTAGCACTCCTTTATCCTTGCCAAGAAATCTGGAAGACAGCTACCTGGCCAATTGACTGGAAGAGATCCATATATATGCCCATTCTAGAGAAAGGAAACTCAACAGAATGTGAAAATTATAGAGCAATATCACTGATTTTTTCTCAAGATTGTCCATCAATGGTTGCAGCAGTACATTGAGAGGGAGCTGCCAGAGATTCGGGCTGGATTCAGAAGAGGGTATGGAACAGGGGATATCATTGTGGATGCCAAATGGATCTTGGCTGAAAGCAGGGAAGCAAAATTTTTGTTTCCTAGAGTTTCATCAACTATGCAATGGCATTTGACTGTGTGGCCCATAACAAATTGTGGATACCTTTGTGCTCATGCAGAATTTGTACAGACCAAGGGGCAATCTGTTGAACACAGTAAGGAAATACTGCATGGTTTAAGGAAGCCTTGGTGGTGTAGTGGGTTACAAATTAGCCTGTTAACAGCAAGGTCAGCAGTTCGAAACCACCAGCTCTCTGAGGGAGAAAGATGAGGCTTTCTACTTCTATGAAGAGTTACTGTCTCAGAAACCCTCACGAGTGTTCCGCCCCATCCTATTGGGCTGCTATGAATTGAAAATGACCCGATGGCAGTGAGTCTATTTTGGTTTTTGTTGTTTTTTGGTGTGGGCGTGGTTTGAAATCAGGAAAGATGTGTACCCTTTCATCCTATTTATTCAATCTGTATGCTGAACAGATAATCCAAGAACCCGGACGCTATGATAAAGAAAATGACCCTAGGATTGGAGTTGCTCGTTAGCAACTTGAAATATACTGATGAAATATACACAACCTTGCTTACTGATAGCCTGGAGGAGTTGCTGCACTTACTGAAGTAGATAAAATAATATATTCTTCTCTGTGGATTATGACTCAATGTAAAGAAAACCACAACCCTTACAGCTGGACCAATAGACAAGATCTTGATAAACCAAGAAAAGACTGAGATTGTCAAGGATTTAATTTTGCTTCAGTCCACAATCCATACTCATGGAAACAGCAGTCAAGAACCAAATAGTGAGACAGCGCTGGGTAGTCGTGCTGCAGGGTGGCCAAGAGAGCGCAAGCTCCACTTAGACCCAGGGAAAGAGACCTGCAGATCCAGAGGGAGAAAGAGGACTCCCAAGTCCAGAGGTGGTGGAAAGGTGAGCAGGCCCTACCCAAGTTCCTCCTCTCCTTCCCCACTGACCCCCCGTCCCCAAGACGACTCCCTTGTCCTTGCCTGGCACACCTCCCCCAGCCCAAACTTCTCACAAAAGGCCCCTTCCGACCCAGCCCTGGATCCCCTTCCGCTGAACCAATGCCCTGAGCTCACTCTGCTGTCTTTCCCGGTGCAGAAGGCAGCGGTTAAGAAATCCCATCTAAAGACTAGAAGAAGCAAAGCCCCTGCAAAAGCATGAGCCCACCCTAGGGTGCCTCGGCAATCTAGAGAGCCTCTGCTTGTCAGAGTCTCCATGACACAGTTGACCTTGGTGATTCAGGCAAGGGCAAGGAGATACCGGAAGAGGTC